AAAAAAATGTCCCAAGTCAACCTATTTAAACGTAGTGACATGTAAAGGAATATGAAAAAGCTAAAACGTTGAATTTAAATTGTAATGTCATCGCAGTACTGTCTAATTTTGCTTGCATCGCTGTCGGTCGAACAAACGAAGACTAAAGCGTGAATGACGCTCTGTATACGATTTTAACGCCCTATAAGTTCGGACACTTTTTAGCGCGGACCCGACGTCCATATAATTGTAAGTCAATGCTTTACAGTGAATTCTGTTGATATTCACCAGTAAATTTTTTGAGTAAAAACGCATGTTCTCCTCATCTTGACATTGGCGAAATCATCGATTACTTTGATGGGGACATAATTACTAAGACACTTTTTCAATTCGGCCGTGACTAGAAACTGAAACAAAAAAACATGGGTCCATTAATAAAAAACCGTAACCCAGTTTTAGAGCTCAGCTATGTAGTATTAGGGTCGTATTCTAGAACTCTACTCAATGCTCAAGTCAGGATTTGAGTATGGTTTAAAGCACTAGAAATCATACTCAAGTCCCTGCCATTAGGGTCGTATTTCCAGTGCTTGTGTTGCCAGTGCAATCCTGACTTGAGCATTGAATAGAGTTAGAATACGACCCTTAGGGTAAGTTCTGATAAGATTTTTGCACGGTAAAGGTGCTGGTGAAAATATAGGCATGAGACTTGTCAACTGATGTCTTCAGGTGGCTGGTGCAGTGGCAGTGCCTCAGATCTTTGGGATTTAAAGCTCCGAGTAGCGCTGCAACTGTTATCATTAGATATGTCACTTACCACCAGGCAACTTACCTTGTTCGTTCTGTTGCTTGTTATCACAAAAAAAACTTATTTTTTAATTCCAGATATGAACGACGCAAGATTATTGATAAAATATCATCGCATATCGACTCTAAAAAAGCCAGTAAACTAGCAGACAAGGCAATTGCACTAGCACAGGAGCATGTGTCCAAATCAAAATCAACAAAACGGAAACATGATGCTGATAAAGAAAAGGATTATAAAAGATCACGGTACGTATTTTTTTCACAATATCATCCAGGGTCCCTTATTTCCACAAGTGACATGATAGAAAAGTTGCGAGATTTGCCTATAAATAATGTATAATGTTTACCCATAATCTTTTCCCTTGTATATTTGTGTACAAATTGAATGGATTGACCTATTATGCTCTGGCCACAAAGAGACGGACGCAGAAGCGTTCCGGGCGCGGGAATTTGAATTTTCAATTCGTTCAATTAATTTATTTTTTTTATAAACACATGCAACAATTTGTACTAATTTGTACAACTTTTATGGAAAAAGAAATTGGAAATATTCTGCATTAATGAACAAAATTAGTGAGGAATTTATTTGTAATTATCAAAACAACAAACACCATACATCATACATTAAGAAACATTTTTTGAAAACTGAAGATATAACTATATTTTGTAAATTACTTTATTGTTATTAAATGTCATTTATATGCACATGTAAGTGAGCATGTTTTTGTACTTATCTAGAAGAAATTGATTAGATTTTTGCGCTATTATATCTTTATTTAAATAGACTGGACTCGAATAGATTGAACCGCGGATAAAGCCGGGAGGGCTTTTGTGAGCGAAGCTTGTAATTAGTAAATAAGTATTTTTCCTGGTATTTTTGGTCAATAAAAAATTTAAATGCTCCAGACCCGTGCTCTGTAGCCACACTTCTCGGGAGACGTGTCTCATTCAGCAGAGTGGCTTTGCCAGACTGAATGCTATCCCTATAAAATAAAAATAAAATTCTTATATTTAAAATTTACGTAATTAAACGTAAATTAAAAAATTAAAAATTGTGTTGACTAAAATCTACAGATGGTTAGTAACAAAATTACTTATGATCTAAGTGTTAGTAATGAGATGTAAGTGACAACTGCGGTTTATATACTGTTGAACCTGTCCACTATCATGCATAGGTTGATGTTGGAGCTAGCCTGTGCCCTCTTCACCAGTGCTGATGCGCGTTTACACATGATCATGTAGAAGCCTACAAAGGGTTTGGATTCAATAAGGTTTCCCTAGAACCAGGCTTTGCCAGTTCATCTGCTGCCTTATAACCCTCAAAGTTAGAGTGGCTTGGAACTTAGTGCAGGACCACTATTATGTAGGCTAACTATTATTATTATTGTAGGTATGAAGAAAAAGAAGACAAAGAAAGAAATGACAAGAAAGATGAGAATGGGAAGGAAAAAGAATTTGGTAATGGTACTGAGATGCCGACCACTTTGCCAGCCGGGGAGACTGTTGGTTCAAAGATGACCGGGTTAAGTGCTGATAGGATCAAAGTTAGTATGCTTTTATCTATGGATATTCTTTAAGTGACAAATAGATGGTTCGTCCAATATAAAGGGTTAACCGCTATCTGTTTAAGTTATTCATTAATTTAGATAGATAGATAGATAGATAGACAGATAAAACGTTTATTTGTTACTACATTCACACGTACATAACAGCAAAAAAATAATAAAAAAAACACAAATAATAAAAAAGCACAAAAACACAAACAAAACAAAAAATAAACAAAACAGCAGAGTCGCAGCACTGCTAGACACCCAGTTATGTACGTGTGCTGCAGCAGTGCAAAAAGGTCATAGCTCAGCGTCGGTGTTTACTCAAGAGCAAACCGCTGATTTTCAGCCATAACCTAGAGGTAATCGCGGATACGATAATGAGCTCGTTGACGTCATTTTTCCATTTAGTTATATTTAAACATATAATAATAATTAGAATAGAAACCAAATAAATAGGAAGATAACATAAGTATAATGTTTAAAAAATAAATTAAAAATATTAGTGATTTAATTCAAATTATATATTGTAAGTGTACAATATATAAAAGAAAAATTAAGAAAAACAAGTGAAATACAGATATAAAAGAATATTAAATTGTTAGTGGGTTAATCATGTTTTTAATACACAATATATGCAATAGGACTGGACTGATTTATTAGATCCGTTATACATAGCGAGTTTTCTTTTGATGCTGATGTCGTTTATTGACGTTTTCTATCACGTAGATACTAATTTCTAACTATTTTACAACATTTTTCCCTTTCATCTCCATATTTAACCGTTAAGTCGGTTTAAAGGAGGAAATTCTCAAATTGATTTTTTTTGTATGTGATTACTCCCAATTTTTGTGAACCAATATCGATGATTCTTTTTATGTTGGAAAGAGGGTGCCTCAGTAGTGGTCCCATTGAAATTTGAAGAAAAAATTCCACCTCGAAGGATGGCAGATTAGGGGTTGAATCCGGTTTATTACTTTTCGTGTGAAATGTGATACTTACCTTTAATCGATGGCAATAAAACTTGGCAAATAGATGTAACAAACCATAGGGAAAACAGATCTGCCGTCTGCTAACGAAACCGCGGTTAAGTGACAATATATTTTTTTGAGATATAAAAAAACCATAACGCAGTTTTAGAATATCGAAATTGTTTAAAAAGATTTCAGCTATGCATCGTTAGAGTAAGGCCGCGGCCGCACTGCTAAGGCGACTGCGACGCGACGGCGATTTCATGAAAACAAACTCATATAAACATATGTCGGTGGCTGCACTGCAGAAACGACAAGCGGAATTTATTTGTTCATATCGTAAAGAAATTTAAAATGTTCTACAAGTAATGAGGGTGTCAGCATTAAATAAAATTATTCAGCGACTCGCGACGACACTTGAATTTCGTACGACAAGTAGCGGTGCGACACGCCTATTTGTCACGATTTGCGACAAAATATGCGGTGATGTATCAGAGCGGCCGCACTGCCTGGCGGCGTCCCTGCGAAAGAGCGCTACATACTCGAGCGAAGAGTTGCAAAGGAAACAAAATAGTTTGATTTTGTCGTTCAACTATATGAGTACGGCTTCTGGTGCGGCCACTCATTAAGTGACGTCATCGAGTATATAACCAGAAATAGAGACGAAATGTCATTTAATTTGTTTGAAAACTATTCTGCCATATCATTACTGTGACAACTGCGCTCCGATTGGCTAGCCCGAGTTCGAAACAATTGACGGGTGTCGTCAACTGTTTCACTTCAAATCGACCAGTTAACTTGAGCTTTGCTACAATGGACGAAAATTGCAAAATTACATATTTAATACTTAATTGCCGATGAAATGTGATTCCGTTTGTTTTGTAATTAGTTGTTTTGCTGTTTTTCCCACATCACCGAATAGAACAGCCCCCATAGTTAGAGATATTATCTTTATTACAATAAACACAGACTATTTTTTGGAATATACGGAGACGTACACACAGGTCAGTAGTTGGCCTGTCTATATTTCAGTGCAAACGAGAGTTGATATTTATAAGAGCTGTATCGCTAATGTGTTACCAGGAATATATGGCCCTTATTTCGTCTCTATTTCTGGTTATATACTCGATGAGTGGCCACCAATTTTTTCGTATCGCCGCCGCGTCGCACTAATTTTAACTGTTTTTAATAGAGAATTTTGTGTTCTATCTTTTTCTGTTTAAAACAGATATTGGACCATTTGTCACTTTGCCGGGTAGTGGATGGCAGAGATAAGCAATCTTTTGACGTCGAGAGATGAAAACATCCTCCTTGGTTGAAGTTGGTTCATAAGGAAAAAATTTACATTTACAATATTATTTAAACATATCCGAAAACCACTTTAAAAAGATTAAGAAATGTGTATGCCAGGTATTATTTAAAAATAAACTTTCAGGTAATGATGGCGAACGCTCAGAAAGAGATAGAAGAGCGTAAAAAAGCTCTTGTAGCTCTTAAAGGTGTGAAACCAGGTGTCAGCGTGGCTGCTGCAACTGCACAGCAGCTGAAAGCACAACTGCATAACGCCATCCCACCGCCTAGCGTCATAAAACCTGTATTATATTCTAAACCTGGTGAGTATGGTGTAAATGCTTTTGTGCCATTGCAAACCGTTGAAGGTAAAGGATATAAAATTTATCAATTAATATTTTATGATTGCAATAAGGTTTGGATTTCACCGACAACCGACCGACCGACCGGCAACAGCAACGGCTACCTTCTTGTACCCTTAATTTGGCATACAGACGCTAATTCGGATTTTTGTGTTATATATCATATCTATAATTCTTTGTTTTGTTAAGTTTATTATAATTTTGCTTACAGACGCTGGTGCCGTGTCCGCCGAAGAGCTGGAGAAGCAGCGGAAAATTGCAGAACTACAAGCTCGAATACAGAGAAAACTGGCAGGTAATTTATGTCATATTATCACTGTTATAATGTTACAATTTCAAAATATTAAGGTGGATAAGATTAGCAAGGGACCGTGGTGTGTGGCCTAGAAACTTGGAGACCTATACCCAGTAGTGGGTGGAGTGAGGCTGTATATGAAGATGATAAACAAAAAGTCCGATTTTTGCCACTAACTGAACTAAAAAATTATTTTCTTATATGTTACTTATTATTTCGTAAAAAGTTTCCATTTAAGCGTGGAACATACTGATATCGGGTGCGGGTCGGGCGCGAGTCGGGTCGGGCGCGTGTCGGGTCGGAAATACCGTGTATTTATATGGACGGTACACACAAACTGCGGGCGCGGGACGGGCACAGTCGTCCATATAATACACGGTATTTCCGACCCGACACGCGCCTTTACTAAATTACTCAATTTGCAAAATGTCGCCTGGTAAAAAACACTAATTATACTTCTGTATAATGAAGTATCGAATGTGATTTCCAGGTGGAGCGCTCGCCAGTGCATCTATAGGCAGTCCGTCGGGTCCTGCTCCTCTGATCCTGGATAGAGAAGGCCGTACTATAGACACTAGTGGCAAGAGAGTGCAGCTGACCCATGTCGCACCTACTCTAAAGGTACTTTTTTTAAATACTACTTGTATCTATAGTCAGGTTGTTGGAATCCTTCTCAACAGACCAGACTTGCCTTCCATATCCTTCTTTTCTGCATTTCCACCATTGACTTACAAATAAATGGACGACGGGTCTAATACAAAAACCACGAAAAAAATGTCCCAAGTCAACCTATTTAAACGTAGTGACATGTAAAGGAATATGAAAAAGCTAAAACGATGAATTTAAATTGTTATGTCATCGCAGTACTGTCTAATTTTGCTTGCTTCGCTGTCAGTCGAACAAACGAAGACTAAAGCGTGAATGACGCTCTGTATACGATTTTAACGCCCTATAAGTTCGGACACTTTTTAGCGCGGACCCGACGTCCATATAATTGTAAGTCAATGATTTCCACAAATAAAAGTCAACTTTTATTTGTGGAAAATAATTATTTAGTAACTTGTGAGAGCCGAAACGAACCCGGAACGGCATCAGGGACCACCTCGAGAGTATACCTTTTCAAACAAAAAAATAATTTTCAAAATCGGTGCACAATTGATGGAGAAATTAGTGTATACATGGACATACTTATAAAATTAACAATAAAAAAATAAATAAAAAAAATTGTGGTTTTTCCTTCGGTGTTCATGGTATCACCTCACCAGATTCTGACTTGGTGACAATGGGAAAAATCGGGCCACAATTGACGGCGATACTGAAAACATACATACAGCCGAACGTATAATCTCCTCCTTTTTTGAAGTCGGTTAAAAATGTCAATATTATGTTTGTTAACCACGCAGGAGTATATTACCACAGATAATATCATACTAGTACAAATCTCATACATAGAAGTGTCTCGAAGCCGCTTATTCGGGTGCTTATTTTGATTCTGAACGCTGTCCAATAAACGGCACCGAGTAAAGCGGCGATGCGGTCGTAATAATGTCCGATCCGCAGGCCAACATCCGGGCCAAGCGGCGCGAGGAGTTCCGCGCGCAGCTGTCGGGGCAGGCGACCAGCGAGCCCACGCCCAGCGACGCGGCGTGGGTGGACCCGCGCGTGGCCGCCAAGCCGGCGCAGCGCGCCAAGCGGGCGCTCAAGTTCCACGAGCCCGGCAAGTTCCGGCAGCTCGCCGAGCGGCTCCGCATGAAGGTCAGTGGCGAGCGTAGTGAGCGAAATCACTACACTAGCTGTTAAGCGTAGTGAGCATGCTACCAATTGTGAGCGAAGTGAGCAAACTCACTACATTAGTTGTTAAGGATAGTGAGCATGTTACGAGTTGTGAGCGAAGTGAGCACTTTTATTGGGAAGCTAAGTGAGCATAATGAGAATTGCCACACAAAAATAACAATTTATTTATTAGTCAGTTTTATACGATGTTAATTGTTAATAAACAGGCACAACTCGAGAAACTTCAAAACGAGATATCCCAAATAGCTCGCAAGACTGGCATATCTTCAGCGACCAAACTTGCTTTGCTGTCAGCAGATGCGCAAGACTCCGACAGAGTACCAGACATTGAATGGTAAATATATGTTATTCATGATTAACTCCTTATACATGCCACTACTGGACACTGGTTTGTCTACAAGGAGAATCTGGCCCTTCTTCTTCTTAACATAAATTAAATTTTAATAAACGTACTGTGACGCCAGTGTACGAACGTTAATTTCTTTACATTTCCCTCTCAATTACGCTCTGCATAGCTAAAGTAAACCAGTGTAGCGGTTTCCACGTCTGAAAGTATGCGTATTTTTTTAATCCCATACTCTGCAGTTTACACAGCAGTTTTGATAACTTACTTACATAAAAATTAAAAATTTTAAAATTTAAACTGTTTATTTCAATAAAAATACATAAATGATATTAGTTTACAGTTGAATCTTAAAATTAAAGATTATATAACCTATTAATAATGTAGTTGCGTTTAATGGTTAGGTTGTATATAAATCATTCTTATCGTTCTTATTTGTATTTGTCCGTTGTATAAAATTTTTTTAGGATGTTCTTTACTTGCACGGGCTTTCTATTATTTAACAAATCCACAAGGAACCTTGGTAGGTTGTTTAATATTCGCGGGAGTTTACACATCCAAACTCTCTCACCATAAAAATTATTACAATTTGGAACTTCATAGATACGAACATGTGGACCACATTGCACTTAAGCATCTAAAGTTATACCTAAAAATACAACTGTATCTTCAACGTGAAATATTTCGTTTCTAACTATAATATTTGTGACTGTCTGTGTGTTCACACATTCATTCATTTCAATTTGGTGAAATTACAGGCACATGGGACTTGTCAACTTATGTCTCAGGGTTACGGGCGCAGTGATAGTGCCTCTCAGATCTTTGCGATTTGTGGCATCTGCAGCTCAGCAAGCTCTGAGTGGCATTGTAACTGTTATGGACAGGCGTGTAGCTTACCATCAGGTGCACGACTTGTTCGTCCCGCCACCTGATGTTATATAATAAACAAAAACACAATTTGTTTTTTTTTTCATTAAGGAATGTACGTGCCTGTCCATTATTAACTGCAAATCAACATTTCAATGTGAAATTACCTTGCATTACAATTGACTAACGAATAAGACCAATGTAATAAAGATAATTTCAATTTAAACTCTTCTCCAGGTGGGACAGTGTAATTTTAATGACGCCAGACGAAAGAGAAGCGAAGCGAAGATCCAAACCAGAGAACTTAGAAGACACAAGAAGCGACACCATGCGTGTGAGCGCTTGCAACGTTGGAGCTGACGACATCGTCGATAATGTAAACGAGGACGCCATTACCAATTTAGTTGAGCATCCGCAGCAATTACGACCGCCAAGTAAGTAATAAGCTAAGTGAACAATGTGAGCCCAAGTGTGAACAGTCTTATAAGGCTCTGCGCCTTTGTTACTTACTTTAATAAAACAACGTTACTACCGATATAGATGAAAAACCGCTACAAATACGACCACCAAATAATAAGCTAAGCGAGCAAAGTGAGCCCACATGTGAACAGACATACTGTTTCTCTATACGTGCTTTAAATCGTAATGAAAAAAAATTAAACCAAAACACCATAGTGTAGATGAACCGACCGCGAAAGTTGAGCTATCTGAGCAAAGTCATAGTAATAATAAAATAATAACAACGCACACACTCAACATAGCCCCGCACTGGGGAAACCCTGTATCGCGGGTGCCATGGACACACACACACACATAGACAACCACAAATTACAACCAAACTCACGAGAGAAATTAATGTAGGATACAAATATTTCTCCCGGCCCGGGAATCGAACCTGGGACCTCTTCGTGGCAGTCCAGTACGGTAACCGTTCGGCCACGGAGACAGTTAATTGTTAGAATGATGAGTAATTCAGGAGCTCTGATATATCAAGTTTATAACCCCAGCTTCTACAGGCTGTACTCAATTAGCTTTTTTGATGTTATGATAATGAATCACGAGTATTGATAGGTCTCTTTAATGCACGTCGTCAAAAACACTGGGTCACAAAATACACGGGATGTCGCCATCCTTCTTTATTTTCTAAACTTTGAAAGATACGCGTGTCGATACATTATGTGTTACAAACTAATTTTTAAATTAACGCTTGCTAGTATGGGAATAAAATAATAGCAGACAGTATCCATAAAAATCTGTGCAATAAGCGCCATCTAATTGATTTGGCTCGATATATCGCTTTTTTTACAAATAATTTAATGAGCAAAACGAGCCCAATTATTCTCACTTTGCTTTGTTGATTATTTCACAACGCTTGTTTAAATTACAACTTTCTAAAAATGAGCGAAGTGAGCACAATTTCATCATAATTGATCTCGTTTGTATTTTTGCGTCGACTGGCGATTGAGGCTGAAAGTGTGTTATGCTTAGGTAGTAAAATATGTGAATTTTGATCCTACCGGGACTCGAACCCGGGACCTCGGAATTCGCACAGAAAACAGTTCGTCCAGGGTAATACTGCCACCTTATCTATTTCTGCCGCCAATCAGTAGCTGCGTTTCGGTTTTGATGGGTAAGGGTGCTGGTGAAATTACAGGCACATGGGACTTGTCAACTTATGTCTCAGGTTGTCGCATCTTTGTGATTTAAAACTTGGAGTGATACTGCAACTGTTATGGACAGGCGTGTCGCTTACTACCAGGCGCACGACTTATTCGTCCCGTCACATGAAATCATTAAAAAGTATATAAATAAAATAATATCGTTCAATGTTTTGTTGTTATTATAAATACAAAGACCGAAAACAGAAAAATTTCGACCGGTGGGACTTGAATCCACGGCCATGCTGCATCGTAGCATTGCTGTTACCAAATGAGCTACGGGTCCAGTTACCGAGTCGCCGAAATTTGTCTTTTCATAATAATAACAAAACAGTGTGGTTATTTCACAAAATATCGCAATATATAGTTCAATGTTTTTTTAATCTATATTAAACAATTTGTTTTCACGGTAAAAAATAACGTCGTGAGATAACCTACAGGTCGAAGAAACTTTTACAATACCGATAGGTTAAGGAAAATATCGAGACGCAACATGCGCTTGCGCATCAAAAGAAGACATGGAACCCTCAATATTATTATATTAAATCTACGACTCTACAAGAAACATTATTTTTTTAACGTGTCAGATAGCCACACAATTGCCCAAACTCATACTAGTCTCATACTATAACCAACGCAACTAAATTCACCCCGGGGCACTTCCCAAAACACTCAGATTAGAACCAATGTGCAAAAAGACCTCCTCATTCAGCACCCCAATCCCACCAATCGTTGGGCTACCAAAGTCAGGTCTTGCGCCTGGTGGTAAACGACACGTCTATCTAAATGTATAATTTATAGAAGGTATTCGACCTTAATACCTTGCAAAATATGTCACTGCTTGACACCGGTTTTCTATAAGGAAAAATATTTAGATCGGCATTGTCCGCCACCCCGGCCCGATGCGATTTAGGGACCTTCCTTGACCTGCAGGTCTCATCATAAGGCTTACCGTCACTTCACCGAAACTTAACGAATGTCTTATATTTTTTTTTTTTTTTTTATAACGCACACACTCAACATAGCCCCGCACTAGGGAAACCCTGTGTCGCGGGTGCCATGGACACACACATAGACAACCACAAATTACACCCAAACTCACGAGAGAAATAAATGTAGGTCATACAAATATTTCTCCCGGCCCGGGAATCGAACCTGGGACCTCTGCGTGGCAGTCCGGCATGGTAATATTACATGAGATATTATTGTTATAATCATAAGTCGAAAAAAGGTGTTCCAAATGTTGTAATGATTTTTCGAATATTCGACGTCATCAGTGGCATTATAAATGTTAAACGTAATGGAATATTTATAACAGTAAACATTTTAAACTTATTCCTCGAAATGGATTTTTAGTTAAACACGCGGAGAAAATTTGACACAAATTCGACGTTAACAGGGAGTATGCCAAAAAGTTTTGACGTTGGCTCCGCCCAAATTTGTAAAACAAATAAGTATGCCTGAAGTTCGCGTGACATGCGACAGGAGTTGTTGAATTTTGCGCATTAAAAGTACCAAATTCGTTTTAGCGGAATAAAACTAAAGGGATTTAAAAAAACCGTAGTGACAGTTCTCGATCATGCATAAACATAATTAATTATCTAATTTTTGTCCTAATAACCTGTAGCATTTCGAGGATAAATCGAAAAAATGTGAAAATTAGAGGTCATTTCGTGATTTTTATCTATCGAGGAAACTTTATTGTTTTATGTTTTTGATTAGTGTCTATGCTTGAATATATCGTGTAGTTACTCATACAATATTTTATTTTTAACTTTAAAGTGGATATACCCCTCTAAAATCAAATCGAAGATTAGAAATTTTTCCTCTGCTCCCTCTTAACAAGCGCCCGATGGCGACTGACGGGGCAGCGGGCGCCGAGCGGCGTGTCGTTAAACAGCTGGGTAATTTTCAAGTTTTGGGATAAATTTGAATTTAATAACTATAGGGCTTCAGTTGAAAATCAAAACTTGCAGATTCTATATGTATAATATATACATAAAGAGAAATATTTTCGTATAAAATTGATGTGCAAAGAAAGATGTTTTATTTTTTAATGTTTTATTTTAAATATTACACGATTTAATTCCGCCTTCCCCTTTCCATCATCGGGGGACTAGGCGTAGGCTTGGGTTCCGCCCATCGAGTATATAACCAGAAATAGAGACGAAATGTCATTTAATTTGTTTGAAAACAATTCTGCCATATCATTACTGTGACAATTGCGCTCCGATTGGCTAGCCCGAGTTCAAAACAATTGACGGGTGTCGTCAACTGTTTCACTTCAAATCGACCAGTTAACTTGAGCTTTGTTATAATGGACGAAAATTGCAAAATTACATATTTAATATTTAATTACCGATGAAATGTGATTCCGTTTGTTTTGTAATTAGATATTTTGCTGTTTTTCCCACACCACCGAATGGAACAGCACGGCATTGTTAGAGATGTTATCTTTATTACAATAAACACAGAATATTTTTTGGAATATACGGAGACGTACACACAGGTCAGTAGTTGGCCTGTCTATATTTCAGTGCAAACGAGAGTTGATATTTATAAGAGCTGTATCGCTAATGTGTTACCAGGAATATATGGCCCTTATTTCGTCTCTATTTCTGGTTATATACTCGATGGTTTCGCCCCTATGTTGTGGATATTCCAAAATTCGCACGAAGCGTTACGCTTACACACGTATATGGCAAACGGCTATGGAGTGGGATTCCCTGCCTGCAGACTTGTTCGTTGAACGTTATAACTATAACTAAAATATTTTTTTTTTAAATCTTTTGGCCATAACCTTAGGTGTATCGTATATTCATTGTAAGTCCGTTTCATAACATTTAATGTAGCAAAGCAGTTTTTATCCGCTACTCCTCCAGTGATTCGCCTTAATAATACACAGACTTCTAGTCACTACTGATCGTCAGTGAAATCGAAATCATAGTCTTCGTAATCTACACTTTCAACGCAATCAGGGTCTGGTATACAATACCCTGCACTTTTCCGAAATCCTATAGGACAGTCTGAAGACGACATTATACTGCACGAGTTGGTTATCTGTTTCTTTTTTGCTATACCATTAGGGTTATTTACCAATTTGTTTTTGTTCTCCACGTTATTTAAATGGTTATAAGTGATATTGTTGTTTAATAGGTTATATGTCCAAGTATCATTCGTTTGGTTACTTTTTACGTTTCTGTTTGTATTAGTGGCATTTTTTGGCTTATAAGCTCTCACAACTTTATACGTACCATAAAAACCTTTTATAATTGTGTTATTCTTTAAGTTATAAGGATTATTAGTGTTGTTCAAGTTTTTTACAAAATTGTTGTAAATAGAGTCATAACCGCTTGAGTTATTTGTTGAGTTGTGTCCTATTCTTCGCAATTGTACAACTAGACCTGTTGAACATGAATACCATTCTATGTTATTACCATTTTGGTTATATCCGCTGTGGTTATTACCACCTACATTGTACAAAAATTGTTTGTTATCCTTTTTCAATTCCCTTTTTTGTATTATTTTTGCTATTAATCGTCCGTATTGTTTTCCTTCTTCTATATCAATGATATCATCTGGAATTGGTTTTTCTGAAAATATGTGTCTTGATTTGTCATAATCAATTTCTTCTGCTATCTCGTTACTTATTTCATCATTGTAGTCTAAAGAATCTTGCGCATTGCTTATATGAAATGCCGTTGCATATGTTGATAGATATAGTATGAATATTAACGCACACTGGTTCATTGCGGGAAGCACCTGGAACAAAGGATTTTATTCCATAAGAATATTGGAATAAGTAACATTATT